TTTGGCATCAGAGGGTAGAGACATACTTAAAGTAACAAATTGTTCATGATTATATATATATATATATGTGTGTGAAATTTGCTTCAAATGATACTTTGATTAGTATGTATGCATTCTGACTTTTTTTTCTTTTTTTTCCAATATAACTGAAGTAAGGTATGAGTGTTTAGCAGAGGAAACAAAAAATCAGAATTTCTTAAAACATTATAGCTAGACGCCAATTACAAATTCGCCGTCAACAAGTTAGAACATATATTGTTTAAATATATATGTTGTAAAATGGTCATTAAAGGAAAAACAAATAGAGAAAATGAAATATACAAGTTACTTTTATCTGAATGGTTGACTGAATTTCAGCATTTTTTTATATGAATGTCGCTTATGAGCCAAAATAACATCAATTAAATTCCATTGTCTGAAATATAAATTGCTTTCTTGAAACAGAAACAGCTGCAGCTCTATAGTTATCCATGTAGATTGGTCGAAATCCTACACAGTTGTTAGGGTCTCAACATTTTAAAACTTTATTGACCTTTATACACAACCGCATTTCTTAAACAAAACACTTTTTTGTTTGTGTTGTTTAGCACAAAGCTACACATTGGATTATCAATACTGCCCACCGCGGGTATTGAAACCAGAATTTTAGCGTTATAACACTCAGACTTATCGCTGAGCGGCAAAGCTCTTAAACAACTAAATGTAATCAAAATATTGTTTGTTTGTTTGTTTAAAATTAAGCACAAAGCTACACAAAGCGGTATCTGTGGTCTGCCCACCACGGGTATCGAAACCCGGTTTCTAGCATTGTAAGTTCGCAGACATACCGCTGTGTTACTGAGGGGCATCAAAATTATAATATTACCGTTCCGAATGTTATTAATCAAATTAAATATAGAACTGGATGGTAAAAAATAACGAGATATATTATTACCTTTGGTATGGCATTTTTAATAAAAACATTATAGCTCATTTAAATAACAAGAAGAACGTTTATCACTTTGGTTTTGAAATGATAATCTATCTCATTAAGCTTCTTGAAATTTTATCTTTAGATGTAACAGAAAGAATAATATATTTGTCATAAGACAATAATACTGGGCTTATTATACTTTTAAACATTCATTTTTCATTCGGCCCTTTAGGATTATTCTGAGAAGACTGTTTGCTTTGCGTTTAGCTGCACAATAGGCTATCTGATCTTAGCCAAACACGGGTATCAACACCCGGTTTTTAGCGTGTAAGCCTTGAAGCTTTTCACTGAGCCTCTGGGGGCCTTTCCAAGAAGAAGAATGTATAATAGTATTTCAACCCGTTATGTCCGCTTTATCCATTACCGACGAGTCGTTTCGCTAAATTACTTAACGAAGCGAAAATAAAATCAATCAACAAATACTAGAGCTCATCGGGCTAGCTGGGATACAACAAATATAGTAGTGGTTGGAGCAATATTTATATAAAACGTTTGTTAGAACAATTGTTATGGTGTAAACGTCATTCCAATCTGCCAAACGGTGATTATGGTAAGTTATAAAACAGTAGTATCAGGCTTATTGTATTTTAAACTCTACAATCTTTAGTTTGTCTCTTAGGGTCCACTACTACGGTGCCGACCACAACTATGTTTATTGTTGAAATCATAAATAATATTCAACGTTAAACTGGTACACAATTAAAAAACGTTTTATTTAGGCCTATCTATGGCCTTCAAAAATTTGACAACTCTACGCGTTTCGACGTTAGAACGTCAAAACTCATTTTACATGAGTATTTTGGTGGAGTCATTTGGGGGTATATTTCATTAGTCTACTTACTAGTGTTTAACATATTCCAAATACGTTAAATACAACAAGTAGTACATTCAATCGATGTCATTGCATTTTCTTCTCACAATATCTATGAAAACAATTGAAATAAAGGATTGATAAGGATAAACTTAAGGATAAACTTAAAATATGCAAGTATATTAGAAGATAAAAATAATAATTATCATTCACCCCTTGCCTCAATAAACTACAAGAAGTGGGGGACGATCAATAGGAACAACACTGTTCAATAACAAAAAAAATGTTTTCCACTTGCAGCCAAAGGAACCGTTTCAAGTAAACAAGTAGATATAACACTTGCATTTTTTCAAGTTAGCTAATTATGATGAGTTAATTGTTTGTTGGCGTGAATGGCATAACTTTGAGCTTTTATTTTGGAGAATCATTACTTTAAACCAGTATATTTAGCTAAAACAAAGAATAACTTATTTAAATACACGTAACTCTCGTCCTACCATTTAATTGTAAATAAAGTAATTAGATATATAACAAATCTCAAGCTAAGATAGTATGTGTAGACTACTCTCTGTGAAGGATCGAGCTCATGGTATCATTTGCCACATTAAAAAACAAGTCTTAGAAAACCAACTATATCTTTAAACACCTTAAAGGTTTGGCTAGGAATTTTAATCTATTAATCAGTCGGTTTTATTTTATTTAAATTTTAGCTAATTCGTAATTAGTTCATATATAGGTTGATACTTAAGAATTTACAACACTGAAAAAATATAATTAAAAGATACTTAAGATTTTGAATAACATGTCATATGAAGTAATATCAGTGGCTAATCACAATTAATTTTAATGTCAATCAAACAACTGATCATTAGTTATGTGACATGAAATGCATATGATTGGCCATTAAGCCTATGTAATACTCTCAAACATTACTGATTTATTGTCACACTGAAATGAGTTATACATCTTATAGTGCTCTAAACTGTCCATGAAGCATAACTAACCCTCAAAGAACTAATGGAAGCCAAACATTATAGTAGGCTGTGGGATGGTTATATTTGTCTCAAATTGTCGGTAACAAAATGTGAAACCACTTCTAAACCAATGGTATACTTACTTGAATAACAGGACAAGACAAAACACCATTCATAACACAAGCTTTCTGTTGATTATCTTACCGCAATCGTGGGTTAATTGCTCTGAGACTGAATTATATGTTCATAGTTGCCATTGACGCCATGTTAGGAACAGACTTCTTAAGACCGTCCCGTATGTTAGACACACAATGAGGTTCGTACTGTTCACACCAAGGCACAAAACCAGTCGTCTTCAATAGCGCTAAAGCCACGTTCAACGACAGCTAGAGCAATGTATATTTTATACGTAAGCTGTGGTTCACACTAAAGAACGGGTATAAAGTTATTTGAGAAGAGTCTGGAGTAAGATCTAACGACATATTCATGCAGTTACTTAATGTATATGATGCTGGTGGAAGTATGTTGTGGGCCAAAAGTAAGTATTGGTGGACGTTCTGGTTCTACATCATTTGGAATGATACGATTAATGCTACACATTATAGGAATCACATCCTGCAATACTTGGTTTTGATTATACATGCTGGTGTAATTGATCCTGACTTCAGCCTAATGGATAATAACTTTCGCTTCCACCGTGTAAAACTGGTTGACACATTCCTCGAAGACCAAGCAATTGACTAAATGAAGTGACCAGCACTCTCACTGGACTCAGTCCTATAGATCATATATAGGGTGTTCTGTGGTAGCGCTAAGAGACTTCAGACATCCAAAACGTTCTGTGAAACATTACTTCCAAAAGAGTGGTCGAGATTACCTCAGGACCTTATAAACTCTTTGATTTTAGACATGAAACATTGGTGTCAGGCTGTCCTTGCTGTTCTTGATGTCCATACTTCATGATGAAATGAAATTATATGAACTATAACAATGTAAGATCACTTTCACCAATATTCATTTAAGCATGGGCTTATTGGCCAGTTACGTGCATTTAAGATTATACAATGAATCACCAGATGTTCGATTTGCATTAGAATGAATTGAGGGAGCAACTGATAATATTTTATAACATAACCTTTGCCTTGCTTTAGCTAAAATACTATAAATCCCAGTTATATTTTAATTTGTTTGTGCGTTGTACAAATCATAAGATCTAAAATCAATTTAGTTGATGTTCAAATATTCGCAAGCAAGTGATGCAAAAAAAAAATATAAAATATAATAAATAAAACAAACATTTCAATAGGAATCGTTCAAAACACATAAACTGTTTCATTAGTGACTTAACTTGCTTCTCTTATAAAATTCATGTCGAAACATTTCCTGTGTAAGCGTATAATTCCTTAAGAGTATCTTAATTATGTAAATACACGTACTTTATTAAAAATACCAGCATTGTTATATATACTGAAACAATACACAGTTATAACTTTAGTACTAAGATGAGTATGTTTGTACTTCTACAGCTCCAAGCAGAAAGTATAAATTCACTCTGAATTATATATTGTATATTATATTTGAGATTGTTTTAGGGTCGTTCGTAGAAAGTTCAGTTTTAACAGTCATATTAACCACGGAGTTAACTTCAATGCTGTTGACATACCCAAAAACATATAATTTTTTTCTGTTAAATAAATACAGGTATATAATTATACGCGAAAATCATAGTGGAAACATTTATTGTATATAAGGGGCACCATTTGTTTGTTCTGTATATTCACTCAAAAGCTACAAATAATTATATTTATAAAGCTTCACAAAATGTAATAACGTTTGTATCATCATCATTAAAGACGACAAATCTAACATCTTTTATTTCATGTCTTAACAACTGATTGTAAAAGTTTTCAGGTTATTGTCAAAGCCAAACTAAATTCTAAATGTTTACATTATTTTATTTGTAATCTTTGAACGAAACCTGAAAAGCAAACTTAAAGAAAATATTAATTCATTTTTGACATTTAAAAAAAATTTACTAACATGTTTTCTTTTCTGATATTATACTTATTTATAATCAAAAACGGAAAACAGTAAAAGCAGACAAAGTCACTTACTTAAAGTGACAGTTTAGCACATCATTTAATCGGAAAGGAAAGATTGAAAATATCTGTGGCAACATTTTCAATTCCTTATGATGGATATGGCATGCCATTATACCAATTTAATAAAAAAGATATCTTACTTTTTTGTGCGAGTACTTGAGCCTACAAATAAATTTGCCAAGACAAGAATTGTAAGAATCACTAGCTGAATTGGGACTAGTTTTAACATTCTGGAATCTTGAAAACTTTGAATGATTGAGAAGTTTTGTTTATGCCGTGTCAAGCTATAATAACTTAGCAGACTACCTTGCACGTTTCAGTAGAGAAGAGATGTCTGTTCTGCTGAAGTTGGTCTCGGAGAATCTATTTTCTTGTTAAGAGATTTGACCGCTAAGAGCATGCGCAGGAAATGAAATATTGTACCATAGCAACAAAATGAACCCCACGGTGAGAATAAATGTGCATGTGTTGTACAGGAAAAATGTTAGTTTGAGAATATTGTCGCTGTTAGCTAACAACTGTAATTCTTCATGTTAGTAATTTTATGAGAAACAATGTGCCTACAAACCCTTAGAAATGAGGGGGAAAAAAACAGTTACCAGTTGTTTTTACAACTATAATAACTTATAAGCCTAAAAAAACAACGAAAAAGTTATATCTGCACACGAAACTAATAATTATCTTAAGAATACAGGGAGGATAGCAGAAAATATGGCTGTTTTGATACTGTGAATGAAAAGTTCCTGCTAAACCTAATAAGTTTGGTGTCTGGTGTGTCTTTCTCAGACTTCAACATATTTATACAGAAATATCAGCTTCTTTCCTGAATATCTTAATCAGATTCCTTACGATGAAATACGTAACAGAACCAACTACCTCAAACTATTTACTATTATTTAGTGAGCTTTTTGACATGTATATTTTCCCCAGTGACGTGATGTATTTTATGCATTAAAGGTGATTAACTCTCATACACTTGACAAACTTCACATTAATTGAAGTCTGACATTTTTAATACTTAATTATTAAACAAAATAACTTTCCAATTAAATCAAAGCATAGATATTGTTAAAGAAGTTAAAAAGCAGAATTATAAATCTCTTTTATTTTACTACTTGGTTTTTACTTGCTGGTTAGTAGATTATTGAAACAGTACTTATGGAAAATGTGTATTATTATTATTAATTGCGGATAAAAAAACCAAGCTGGTATTTGTTTAATAATGTTACGTTTATGAGAATCGTTGGAAATTGACTTGTACCTGTACAGTCTCTCACCTGTACAATAAATTAGGTTGCGAGGTGATATTACAAATTAACATTTGATAAAACATATTTAAAGCAACAGTTTAAGGTACTCATAATCCTGTTTGTAAATGAAACGGATATCAGAGTTACAACGTACAGTGGTGGAAAGATTTATTGCTTGTTTGTTTTGGAATTTCGCGCAAAGCTACACGAGGGCTATCTGCGCTAGCCGTCT